TGTGAGTACACCTTGGTGATGTCACTGTACCTGCCTTCAGGGGGCTGGTAGTTAGGGATTGGTGGTGTGTAATGTGGCCCTTCCCTCTCAAACGGGAACAGGTTGGAATCCCGCTTGATGGCCTCAGCATAGAGTTTCGGGGACTCGAGTCGTAGTTCCTCCAGAGCTTCCTGCTGGGCTTCTAGCATGGTCCTGATGGTGTCCCTCTCCATCTCATGCTCTTGCTGCTTGTACAAGGACCACTTCTTCAGAAGCAGAGCTCTCCGCTCAGTCTCCTCAAAGGAGAGCTCCACCTGAGGCCTCTGTCTGCAAAGAAGCTAAGGGTTACCAACCTCACTGGCATGGAAGTCTGTGACTGCAGCTGACACAAGTATCCCCATTGCCAGATACAGACTGGACTTAGGAAATAAAACAAGTTTGGAACAAATTAAGAAATGCAATGTTGAATGTGGCTGCAGCTGCAACTGATGCTGGGAACCAAGGTCATTTGCTTTCTGTCAGAAGAACAGATGGTCTGAGGAGACTATGGTAGCACTTCCTCTGCCCCAGGCAAATACTACCTTCGGTGATAGGTGACTTTGACACCTGCCCCTTTATAGATGGTGTACACTGCCTACAAAAGGGCAGCATGAGCTGCTAACCCTGAACACAGTCCAATCCCAACAAATACCAACTAAAGGTATCTGCACGATAAAACAAGAGGCCAAGGGTTTTGTCAGGATGAGGCGGGAGCTTCAGACTCAAGGACCAAGGGATCAGAAACAGCCAAGACTCCTCATGCATGATAGTGACATGAACTCCAGAGCAGTGCTTAAGCATCTGGCCTGGATGAGCAGTTGTTTTAAGTTTTTTCCCACCTAGAGCCATTTAAAATACCACCCAGGAATGCTTTCTCCTGCTCCCAAAAGGAGCAAGAGCTCATCAGGGCCTAGTCAGCTCAAGCCTACTGACCCATTACTATCACAGGTGTGAACTACACACACAACTAACTGAAGCTGATAGAACTCCTTTGCCCTGAGGACTTCGTCCTTAGAGAAGGATCCTTACCTTGCTTTATCCAAGAACTTTATAGGGGTAATAAAATCTTCAATAGGAATTAGCTCTTGACTAGCCTTTTCCAGTTTTCGGATCCTCCTTTTCAAGCGGTCCTTTACTGCTTGGTCTTTTTTAGGATCTACCTTCTTCTTCTTTCGAATAGGTTCTGATCTAATAGATAAAAAACATTAAATATTTTCCTCTTCAGTCTTATGAACCTACGGAGAGACAAGATGGTAAGTACCCCATATTGAGCTCTCCACTTGGGGAGGGAGCTGTGTGTGACTGACTCAGTGTGGTGAGGAGGTAGGTACTCCACCCCAGAGTACTTGTGAGAACTGTGTGGGTGCCGTCAACTACAAGAAACAGTACAAAAGCAGCCAAGGGTGGTGGCTCACGCCTGTAATCCCAACACTTTGGGAGGCCGAGGTGGGTGGATCACGAGGTCAGGAGTTCGAGACCAGCCTGGCCAACGTGGTGAAACCCTGTCCCTACTAAAAATACAAAAATTAGCCAGGTATGGTGGCACGCACCTGTAATGCCAGCTTCTCAGGAGGCTCTTGGGAGGCTGAGGCACGACAATCACTTGAACCTGGGAGGCGGAGGCTGCAGTGGGATGAGATCATACCACTACACTCCAGCTTACACAACAGAGTGAGACTCTGTCTCAAAAAAAAAAAAGGACAAAAGCAACGTGGGGCATCAGGGGTATAAATTCAGGGGAAGGGTTCATCGTTAGTGCTGGGATTCAGGTGTCCCTTGGGATTACATTGAAAAGTGAAAATGCCAAACTGTTGGATTAGAAGCTCATTAGGATTAAAATTGATTTGTGTGCTGGGCCACGTGGCTCAGGCCTGTAATCTCAGCACTTTGGGAGGCCAAGGTGGAGTATCACCTGAGGTCAGGAGTTTGAGACCAGCCTGGCCAACATAGTGAAACCCCATCTCTACTAAAAATACAAAAATTAGCCAGGTGTGGTGGTGGGCACCTGTAATCCTAGCTACTCAGGAGGCTGAGGCAGGAGAATTGCTTGAACCCAGGAGATGGAGATTGCAGTGATCTGAGATCACACCATCACACTACTACACTCCAGCTTGGATGACAGAGTTCTCGAGACTCTGTCTCAAAAAAAAAAAAAAAAAGAATAATCAAATCCTCTACCATCAAGACTGACTGAATTAGAAGATTCAGAAAGAGTCGAGATTGCCAGGGAAACACCTTTAATACTCGTACCTTCCCCACACTCTCCAGGGCCTCAGAATGGGCAGGAAAGAGGAAAACTCATGGAGAAACAGTAATTTAAGCTGTGCCCTTTAAAACACAAGAGGCCGGGCGCGGTGGCTCAGGCCTGTAATCCCAGCACTTTGGGAGGCCAAGGTGGGCGGATCAGGAGGTCAAGAGATGAGACCATCCTGGCCAACATGGTGAAATCCCGTCTCTACTAAAAAATACAAAAATTAGCTGGGCATGGTGGTGCGCGCCCCTGTAGTACCAGCTACTCGGGAGGCTGAGGCAGGAAAATTGCTTGAACCCAGGAGGCGGAGACAGCAGTGAGCCGAGATTGCGCCACTGCACTCCAGCCTGGCGCCTGGCGATACAGCAAGTCTGTCTCAAAATAAATAAATATATAACACACAAGAACCCCTTCAAGGAGATTACTTATTGAAACTGCCCAAATTAAAAAAATTACAAACAGCAATCTCTGGTATGGAAAAGGCTGAAAAGACAGAAAAGCATCGGCCTACATTTAACTGAGAAACTCTGTAGGGTGTTAACTTTGCAGACCACACATCCAGCAGTCTTGCTTTGTGCTGTACACATCATTTGACACGTGTACCCCCAGAGATCAGGCCCGCGGTTGAATTTTACCTCATGGGAATAAGTTCCCAGAAGGACAACAATGAAGCTCGCTGGTGGGAGTCCCTAATCTGCGTCTGCCAAGTTCCCAGAAGCCTGAAAGATACAAGAGTGTGTATAAATATCTGATTCTCCAGGACCGGCGCGGTGGCTCACGCCTGTAATCCCAACACTTTGGGAGGCTGAGGCAGGTAGGTGGATCACGAAGTCAGGGGCTCAAGACCAGCCTGGGCAACATGGTGAAACGCCATCTCCTAAAAATATAAACATCAGCCGGGCGTCGTGGCACGCGCCTGTAGTCCCAGCTACTCCGGAGGCTGAGGCAGGATAATTGCTTGAACCGGGGAGGCAGAGGTTGCAGTGAGCCGAGATCGTGCCACTGCACTCCAGCCTGGGCGGCAGAGCGAGACTCCGTTCCAAATAAATAAGACAAATAAATAAATATGACTCTCCCACTTCACAGGAAAAGAAGAAATTGCAATGCCCCCGAACGCGGTGCACTTGTAACTAGGTGTGACAGCAAGGTCAACGTGGGAGAGTTTTCAAACGCTTTCTTTCACACCACTGAGACTTGGGCAGGACCCCTGCTCGCCAGGGTGCTCAGACTGTTATCCATAAGAGTCACGATCACATGGCTCATCCCTGAGACGTTCGTGCACTGGGAGGCGAGCAGGGAGGACAAGCAAGTCGCAGCCAACAGACGCGGAAACCCCGCATGCGCCCTGGGCACCGCTACCCGGCCGGCGTCCGCACTCACCCGCTCGTCGGGCGCAGAGCTAGCGAGACACCTCGCAGCACGGAGGTAGTCATGGCTACTCTTGTCGTTTCCGGGCCTGCGCCCCTCCACAGTCCGGCCCGCGGTGCCTCCCGCGGAGGTCCTACCGCCCCGCGCTCCGGTGTTCCGGCTGCGGGGGCTGGGACGCGCCTGTCCCCGCCCCCGACGCAGCCCCGCCTCGGGCGACCGCGGCGCACACTCGGGCGCCTGGCGCTTCGCGCGGCTCGGAGTCCTCCCTTCCGTCCCCGCCCTGGGCTGCGAGCGCGCTTCTGCAGCGGGCACAGCCTCGCCAGCCAGCTCCTAAACGGTTGGTCGATCTGCGCCCTCGCGCGAGCCTCGGCCCTACAGTGCAGCAGGAGTGGCCAAGGGGGCGGTCCCTCTGCTCGTCGGAGTCTAAATGTTCACGTCTGTGCAAACGCCCCTGATCTTACAATAATGCGCCCGCCCCAGCCTCCCCCACCAGGGTTGGCTCGTTCCCCGCATTCGGCGAGTCCGAAGCCCGGGTCGCATCCCAGCGCCGGCGTGGAGCCTGGCGCTCGTCAGATGCCCAATAGCGCGTGTTGATGAATGACGGAAGCTGGTTAATAAGTCAGACTCAGACTGGCGAGGCAGAGGTGGTGACGGGCAGTCCACGCCAGTTGGGCCCCGCCTGTCTCTGCGGCCGGCCCAGGCTGCAACTCCAGGCCCCGCTTGCTGTCCGCTGTCCAGGCGAACCGTCCCTTCTTGGGCGCCCGCGCCCAGGCCCTACCCGAGGCCCCTGCCCGCCGAGGAGCCGGGGCGGCCCAGTCCGCGTGGGGAGCGGTTTCCCGCCGGGGCGATTTGGCAGGTGCGCGCCGTGACTTCCGGCGTTGCCCGGGAGCCGCCTGAGGAGGAGCGGCGCAGGGGATGCGGCTGTGGTGGCGGCGGCGGCGGCCGAGCGCTGGGGGCGGCTGTGGCGGCGGAGGGGGGCGCGGGCCGGCGATGGCGCGGCGGCCCTGAGGGCGCGGGGCGGGCGGCGGCCGGAGGGCGGGCGGCGCGGGAGGAAGCGGCGGCGGTGGCTCCATGGCCCGGGCGCGCTGAGGGACCCGGCTCTCGCCTCAGCCCGGCGGCGGCGGCGGCGGCGGCCGAACAATGAAGCTCCTGAAGCCGACCTGGGTCAACCACAATGGTGAGTGCGCGCAGGGGTCGCGGGAAGCCGAGCCCGGAGTCGGGTCCGGGTCTGGAGTCGTGTCGGGGTGTGCGCAAGCCCTGCCTGCCTCTCCCCTGACGCCCGGTACTCGGTGCCCAAACCAAGCAGCCGCCGGGAGCGGACTTTGTCCTCAGCGCGGTGAGGCCGGTGAGCCCCAGCACGTGCTCCGGGTTGACCGCAGCGAAGGCCATCTTCGCCCCGGGCCCTGGTTCTGAGCCTCCCGCTGTCCACCTGTGGTCCTCGGAGGCGCCGCGGCCTGGCGCCCAGGAGCGGCCTTGGTGCCGGCCAGTTCCTGCCACTGGTCTGCATCGTCCGGGAAGTGCTCAGATGGTCCTGACGGTGAAAAGCGGGACGAAATCCCCCTTGTGGCCTTTCAGTGACAGGGTGAAGATCTGAAATCTGCAAGAGGGACTATTACTGCCCCTCTGGATCTGGTGACAGTGCCCCGAGTTGGGGAATTGTGGTCCCTGAATAGGAGGCCTTAGGAGGGACCACGCCGAGGGATCCACGGTTAAGGCCGAGCTGGGGCATCAGGTGGATAAGGCACAGGTGTGTCCTAAGAGAGGGGCTTCCTTAGCTCTGCGTCAGTGGCCTCAAAGCACACCCTTGGGGAACAGATTCATCCACCCTGTATCTTGACTCTGATACAGAGAAGCCAGTGGTAACCAGTTTCGTCATAGTTCTGCCTTGTTGGCAGAACTGCTGCAGGAGTTGGTGTTTGCTCCCCAGGGAGATGAAAAAAGCGCGCTCCCCCTCCTCCTCACCACTCTGCTGACAGCACTGTAGCACAGAAAGCAATCCAGGGAGGCTCCTCCAGCCCAGGGCCTGATTCTGGCCTGTCTCTGACTGCTGACAGGCAAAGGGTCACCCTGATGCTGCCTTGTTCCTCATTTCTACTTTGCAATGCGACTAGAGGGTGCTACTGTTTAAGAGCAAGAAGAATAGATACGTGAACATGCGGCTTTTTCGTTTTGAACTTGGTCCCAGGATGCTCTCTACTACCACAACTAAACTGAATTGATAATGTCTGTGTTCACCTCCTGCCACGTCTCTCCCCTTCCATCTTCTTATGTGTCATCTTTCCCATTTTTTCAGGGATTAGGTGAGGTCATGTGTTTCTTTGGAAACCATTCGTTCTGCGTTAACCCGGTAGATTTCCTGTATCACTGTGTCTGTGCTTCGCCTTGCGTGGAAGGGGTAGGGGTACTTCCCATACACCCCCAGGGTAGGAACTGCCTCAGTCTCGTCTGTATACCCTGCTGCATTGAGCAACCTCTTCCACACGATGAGTATGTGAGAAATATTGGCTAAAATGGCTAAGAAAGCTGAGGTTTTCATAATATTTATCAAGATGAAGTTTTACTGTGCATGAAAGCAGAAGCCTTGAGTTTTAGTTTCATTTCTCCTGTTGATCTCCAAGAGCATTTCCTGATGTGTACTGTGCAGGTCTTTCCCTGGAGAACTGGGCCAATGTTGTAATGATGAATTATGATGCTTGTGATTAGGAAAGGAAAAATGTTATGAACTAGTTTCCTGTGTGAAGGTCTGATGGAATTTTTATTTTAAAATGCCTTACATAAATCAGTTTGGGTGTATAGTCTACCCTTCTCCAGCCTCTCTACTACTGTCTATCATATATCTTGTTTCTTTTTTTTTTTTTTTGAGATGGAGTTTCGCTCTTGTTGCCCAGGCTGGAGTGCAATGGCGCGATATCGGCTCACCGCAACCTCCGCCTCCTGGGTTCAGGCAATTCTCCTGCCCCAGCCTCCCGAGTAGCCGGGACTACAGGCACGTGCCACCATGCCCAGCTAATTTTTTTGTATTTTTAGTAGAGACGGGGTTTCACCATGTTGACCAGGATGGTCTCGATCTCTTGACCTGGTGATCCACCCGCCTCGGCCTCCCAAAGTGCAGGGATTACAGGCGTGAGCCACCGCGCCCGGCATCTTGTTTCTTTTTGATAAGCTCCTTTGTAGGCCAAAAGTTTTATGCTTTGTAAACATAAGTAAGTTAAGATGCTTTAGGTACAAATGAATGAGAGACTACACTAAGATCAGCCAAGCAGCAAAATGCATCAGCCTGGCGGAGGAAGTCCAATAGTGGTCCTTGTTGCTGAGGGCCTCTCCACAGCCCTAGAATGGAGCATGATAATATCTGCTCTACCTACTTCATAGTATGCTTGTGATAGTGAGTTGGGGGCGTAGATATAAAAATGCTCCCCAAACTGTAAAGTGCTTTAGAAATCTGAGATAATAACTAATAATAAAAAGATATGGAGACTTTGGCAGGACGGGATTTAACTTCTTTTAAACTTGTTCTTTGTGAAATTTCTTTTCTTTTAAAATCTCATGGAATGTTCAGAAGGACTGTCAGAGGTAAATTACCACTGCCCTAGAGGAAATGATGCTGGCCGGAATCACTGCTGAGCAGGCGGCTATAGGAATATTGGTGGCTGCTGGAAGCAGGGGCTGCTCAGCCAGAAGCCTGAGGAGTGGGTAGTGGCCAGTACAGTTGTGCTTGCTTTTGGAAAGCACATCACTGCACTTTCTGGCTTCCTTGCTCTGTAATCATGTCTCCTATCTTGTGACACATTAACATAACTTTTTTTTTTTTTTTTTAATATTAATGGGATCTTGCAATGTTGCCCAGACTAGACTCAAATGCCTGGGCTCAAGGGGTTTTCCAGCCTCAGCGTCCCAAGTAGCTGGGACTACAGCTGTGAGCCACTGCAGTCAGCATGAACATACTTTTTTTGTTTTTCTAGAGTCTAATGGGGGAAGTAGCGGAGAGCTCAACATTTTTCTGTGGTGTGGCAGGGAATCCATTCAAAGTGGAGACGGTAGCTAGAACAGGGGAAAAAGTACTTGTTGAAGTGTAGGTGTACTTTGGTCTTCATTTTCTTGGCTGAAAATAGAAAAACCTCTAAGATAGGGTTTCCAGCTTCATCAGGTTGACATTTTGGGCTGTAAAATTGTGTGATTGTCATCTATGTTGTATGTTTCTAGCATCCCTTGCCTCTATCCACCAAATGCTAGTAGCACTTCACAACTACCACCTAGTTGTGTCAACATCTCCAGATATCGCCAATATCCATTGATAGTCAAAATCACCCCCGGTGGAGAAGCACTTGTCTAAGTTTATCAATAAGTTAATCTTGAAGTTGTTACATTGCAGTAAAATGAGCCTTGAATAGGGAATCCGACTGCGTTCAAAACTGTGTCATTTACTAGCTGTAAATTCTTGGGACTTATAACTCTGCTTCTCGGCCTTGGTAAAATGAGACTTCCTCTTCCATTTTACCCTGTGACTAAATATAAAAGATTGTTAAATTAAGATATATAATAATAGCTATCATTTATATAGAAGTTATGTGCCAGGTATTGTCCATACATTTTACTTTGTGTTCGTGGATATAATATTTTTTTATATTTTATTTTAGAATTGACCAAAATAAACTTCATTTCTGAGTTAGGTTTAGGTCAAAAAGTGAAAATAACAAGATTTCTGGTTTTAAAGTTTGTAGAAAAATGTAGTTTGTATGTTTAGAAAATCTTGTTGAGATTCATGGCTCTTCCCAACTCTGGCCCTTGACTCCTGAGTTTTTTCTGGAATTCTCACACCTGGGCAGATAGCTCTTATGCTCAGCTCTTTGGCGAAGCCCATTCTAACCAAGAGGGCCAGGACTGAAGTAGCTCTTGTCCACCTTTGGCCTCTGGTTCACACTTTGATAGCAGTGTTATGAAAAGGGATTTGGGAAGATTTCAATAATAGGATAATTCACTGGTTAATCACATGGCCTTATGTGTGTTTTCTCCTGTCCTGCGATTGGATTATTTTTACCCCTACCTTGTGTCATTCTGAAAAGGATTTGAAGATGTTCTACTGATACATCAGCATGAAAAATAATTCAGCTTGAAGGGAAAATGTAGGCAGAATCATACAATGATAAAGTTGGGTGGGTGGGTAAGGTCCAGCACGCTGCTGGAGGGCATTGCAAACCTATGTCTGAGAATAGGTGGGGAAACGATCCTAATGGTGAGGTTATATGATTGCAGTGGTTGAGAGATAGACTTGGCAGTTGTTCTAGATCAGTGGTTTTACAGGGCAATGTCTAGAGACATTTGTGGTTGTCACAACAGGGTTGGGCGGAGTGAGTGCTTACTGGCATCAAGTGGCAGAGGACAGATCTACTGTTAAACATCCTATAGCACGTAGGACAGCCCACACATGGAGAATTATCTAGCCCCAAATATCAATAGTGGTAAGGGTGAGAAACTCCACTCTGGATAAGTTATTTGTCTTTTATTGTATTTGTCTTATAGTTCCAACTAGACCATAAGTTTCTTGAGGGCAAGAATTTCGTCTTCTGTTTTTGGAATCAGATATTCTGCTCTGAAGTCTCTGCCCTGCTGCTTGCTACATATGTGACATAAAAGGTTTTTCCATCCTTTTCCTAATCTGTCAGTGAAGTCAATAATTCTGGCTTCACCTGTTCTGTATGATAGCTCAAAAAATGTGAATTCTCTCATTAGTTTCTCTCCTGACTTATGTCTGAAGATAGGTTGATTTAGGAAGATAAATAGAGTACATCTGAACAGGCGGAAGAAAACTGGGTGAGATTTTGCTTTGGACAATATGTATGTGGGGTTTTCACTAATTTATGCAACAGACATTGAATCTTTCTTGTGAGAGTTCTGTGGGGATCAGAGGTAAATAAGGCTCTCTCTCTGAATGGAAAGCTGTGTGGAAGATAGATGGGAGAGATTGACATACAAACCGTATTCTAGAATGCAGGGCAGTGGAAACAGGAGCTAGAGAAATAAGCATGATAGCCTGAGGAGGAAGGGCACTTCTCCGGCAGAGTCGGGTTTGTGGATGTGTCCTTGGACTGAACCTTGATGTGGCTAGAATTGTGATGGCAGAGAAGGTGCTACAGCACCTGAGACCATCAGGAGAAAAGCCTAGAGGGTGAAAGCATTTAGGAAAAGACATAGAACATGCTAGGAGAGAGGGTAAACAGGGCAAGAAGGAGAATGGAGCTGGGAGGCAGAGCCTGGAACACCTTGCTAGGAGCTTGCACTTCCTTCTTAGGATTAGGGGAGGAGATCATTGAGGCTTCTGAGGAAGCTGGATAAAACACCCAACCTGTGTCTTAGGAAGGCCCTGGAGGAGTTAGGAGTTTCCAGTCTTGATGAGATGTTCAGGGAGACAGGGAGGTCACAGGTGGTGGAGGTGAGAAAGAATACAGAGGCACTAAAGACAAGGCAGAGGTAAAATTAAGGGACTTAGCCATATAGGCAGGTGACTGTAGATTTGTGTCACTTTGAATTTATTTTATTATTTATTTCAGACAGTCTTACTCTGTCACCCAGACTGGAGTGCAGTGGCATGATCTTGGCTCACTACAACTTAAGCCTTTGGGTTCAGGTGATTCTCCTACCCCAGCCTCCCAAGTAGCTGGGATTACAGGCACATGCCACCACACCTGGCTAATTTTTGTATTTTTAGTATTTAGTGTTTTTGTATTTTTAATAACACATTTTCGCCACGTTGGCCTGGTTGGTCTCGAACTCCTGACCTCAGGTGATTCACCTACTTCGGCCTCCCAAAGTGTGGGAGTTAGTCACTGTGCCGAGCTACTCTCTGAATTTATTTCTTTAATATGCTGGAGAAAGGGTATGGATGAAGACTAGGAAATGGGATTTTCTTTTTTTTTTTTTTTTT